GGAGGCCAGTATTCTCATACCGCGATATTCTACTGGGGAAATTCATCCACTCTGTGCTGCAGGATACAGATTTAGCCTCAAGCAAATGGCATGTATTTATAGCAAACTGTATTTGCAGAATGCTTTGCAGTTTTGGGGTTGTTAACTACGTTCCAGGTTGGCTGTTCCTCTACTTGTAAGAAAGTTTAAGTGTCACAGCTGAGACTCCACCCCTGAGAGCAACGGGGTGAATTCTGCAAACAAGGGTGAGAGGAGGCCACAGCTCAGTATTCTCGATCAAAAGGCATCTATGTCAATTGTCATCTTTTAAGACCTTAATTGCAGCTTATTTCTCATGTCCAGAGACTGTGTACTTGCTGAAATGGAATATGCATTTTATGAAGAGACGATATAGTGTCTCAGATTTAGTGCTCGAGTACTGCTACCCAGGATCTATCTAGAAGGTGGAAGGGAGAGTAATCGGAGTGGGCAGTGGAAGAGGGGGAACCACTGAACCATAAGGAAATAAGGCGTGTCTCCTCCCGGCATCTCTCCAAACACAGACCTCGCTCCACCCACTCCAGCACTTGAGTTAAAAGCAAGTGTCAAAGATCAGACTCTCCTGAAGCTTTTAGGATTTCACCTATTCTTTCACTTGTTAAAGACATGATGGTTAAAGGTGTTCTCTTCCTGGCAAACAGAGATTTATCTGCGCTTTCACCACCGGACTCCATCATTGTAAGGAGTATTTCCCAGTTGTATCTTTAACTGTGCATGGAAAATGCATTTCCTCCTTGAAAAATCTCTCTCGCACACATCTCTATTCTCCGCCAGAGCCTTTCGGGAGTTCCCTGCTCCTTACTTCTGTGTAAATCCAGCTCTTCTCTAGACAGCTCCATCCTGTATGAGGGGACCAGAAAGGTGGTTAGTCTTGGCCTCCAGCAGGGCCCACTTTAGCTGGACCAGGATATTTTCAGGAGAAGGCAAAGATGAGGCTGAATTAAAAAGAGTTTGGTGGCCTCCCACCACCATCTTTTGCATCGTTTCCATGCCTCTCTTCTCCCTAACCTTGCATTTGTCCGGGGCTGAAAGACAGGGCTGAAGGAGAGGTTGGTGCGTCTTGATTTTAATTGTGATAGCCAGGAGACAGCAAGGGGAGCAGCCCCTCAAATGTTTACAGCAATTACAAGCCTTAACGATGGAGCGCTGGAGGGCCGGAGCGGTCGCTCAGCTCGACTGTTTGGGGTTGCAGTGCCCTCTAGTGGCCTCACTTGTCTGTCAGCTCTGTCCACACGCAGCAATGAAGCCGCAGGTGTTATGTATTATGTGGATGTGTATATAGCGGGTGTGGGTGTTCCTTGGTATTTGGGGATTAAAGGTGAGAGAAAAGGAATTTGGTGGCATATTATTATCCAATTAAAGTAAATTTTACTTCATGTGAAGGCTATGGGGGGGGATATATTTCCCCTTATGAGTTTTATTTTCCCTTCGTTATCTTGTGCCTCTCACTTAGGATAAGTTTTACATGGAATTACCCATTAATTTTTTATTAATTGAGAAAAATTGTGCCGTGACGATTTTTATAAGTAGCTGTGTGTTGCTTGTCCGTAGGTTTATTTTCGGTGATGCCAAAGTGATCACAGAATTGATCGCACATTTTCTTTCTCTCACCATCATCTTAGACTTGATAGCGCCATCTAGCGGCCATGTCGTGGAAGTCCTTTTTCCAGCCTCTGAATTCATTCTAAAGGAGGAGGGCTGTGGGTTGATAATGAAATGTATCTGGTTGTAAGGGGCATGAAGGCCAGCCAACAGGCCCTCAAGCTCTCTGGTCAGGCCTGCAAGGCAAAATTCTAAAACTCTTATCTTGAAAAGAAGCACTTCATCTTTACTGATTTTTTTTTTTAATTTCATTCACTTTCCCAAGGAATGAAGGTCCATTTTTCTAGAAATAACATCGCGAGACTTCACCTCATCCCGCTCCCACCCCCACTTATCTCTATTCAATCCATGCGCAGACTGGAAGCCTGACCACGGTCCGCCTGAGCAGAATCCTGGGAGATTGTGGCCACTTTAGAAATATGCCCAGCCACGAGTTGCATAAGCCTGAATGTCCAATCAAGATGTACATGTGCCTTGGCGTGACTGGGGTTAGCTGGTGGGTGGGCTGCCGGGCCTCCTATTTAATATCAGTCTTGGTTTCAGTGTGTGCAGGTATGTAGTTCTCTGGTAACCTAGAAAGGGCTTGAGCCCAACTCTGGATCCGTTATTAAACAAAATGCAAATGGGAAATAAAGTCTATCCCTATTTATAGCCACTGAGTGAGTCCTGTGCCTTAGCGCGCAGGAGGAGGCCCGTGTCCGTGGAGCTGCAGGGTGAAAATGCCTCATCCGCATAATGATGCCCATCTGGGAACCAGCAGTGCTGAAATGCCTCACATTACACAGCAAACAAGAGCGAAACTAGCAGAGCGCTCCCTGGACCCCGTAAGAGAGAACTCTGCTATGAAGTCAATGAGTCGGATCTCACCATCACCTTTTGGAACCACTTGGCAAATCCTTTCAACCAGTTCCCCTAAAGACCCGGCCCACCAGGCATCACATTCGTGATGTGTCCAAGAGGACCAGAATGATGCTCTGGACCTGCCCGTTGTCTCCAAAAGCCCACTGGCTCCCTGAAATTGTTTCATGTCTGGGACGACAAAGGGTCAGGGAATGGTTAAGGAACCCCGGGCCTTTTGTCAGCTGACTCCCATCTTCCCTTAGAGTTAATGAGTCAATTGGAAAACTCTGAATGCTTGAAAGAGAACTACTAAGCAGTGCTTTCTTTCATAGGGAACAAGGTTTTATTTTCTAGGAGCCATTTCCAATGTTTGTGTCCAAAAATCAACCAGGCGCCACCCCAACTCCCTGTTACTCATCAAGCAAGGATGATACAGACGTATCTCTCAGGCTTTGGAGTGCTGCAAATCTTTCTGAAAAATGTCAGAATTCCCTCCCCATCTTCAATACGTTGATTAATAATGAAGCAGAGATGTCCTGTTCTTCCCCTGTGACGTGAAGGCTTTGGAATCAGAACTGGATTCAAATCTCAGATCTCACCGTATACTAGCGGTGTGACCTTGAGGCTCGTGGCCTCACTTTCCCCATCTTTCAAATGGGTGTGATGATAGCACTCCATGCAGAGAGCTGGCATAAGGGTTGAAGGAGGTCTTGAACAGATACCACTTTCCTAGCAGGCCCAGGCTCGGTAAATCTTGCCCATAGTTATGATTGAAACTCTTATGAGGGTGACTCGGCACGTGCTAGCCACTGTATTATGTGCTTTAAAATTATCCTGCAGTTTATTCATCACCCATCGCTCGAGGTAGGTGCTATTGATGCCTCCATTTGTGGATGCAGCAGCGGCGCCATAGAACTCTCACTGCTGTCATTGTCCGTACTATTGATGACAGTCAGAGCCCTGCACAGATACTGCAGAAGCGTCCAGTGATGGCCAGGGGAGCTGAGGATTCTCAGAAAGGACACCAACTGCTCTCACATCTGGAAGGGCCATTTCCAACTCTGTGGGTTCCTAGGAGATGGGGTTCCCCAAACTGAGTGGTTCTCCCCCCCCCCCCCCGGTGACACTTTCTGACCTCTCAAGGATTTGACTCCAGCACACTGGGGCCATGAGGTCACGCAAGTCCTTGCTCTCTCGCCTCCCTCACTGTTGCTTTTTATTTCGTCTGTGGCAGGCAACTCCCCATCTGACGAGTCAGAGGAGCGGGAAAGAGACCCCAAGGTGCTGACGTTCCCAGAGTACATCGCCAGCCTGTCCGACTCTGGCACCAAGCGCATGGCGGCTGGAGTCCGAATGGAGTGTCAGAGCAAGGGGCGGTGCCCCTCGTCCTGCCCCTTGTGTCATGTGACATCCAGCCCTGACACCCCTGCCGAGCCAGTTCTGCTGGAGGTGACCAGAGCTGCTCCCATCTATGAACTGGTGACCAACAACCAGACCCAGAGGGTAAGAGGCCTGGGACTTTTGGCTCAGGGCAGCATCAGCAACAACAGAGGGCTCTGCAAATAGCCTGAGGAGGTGACAGGACGCAGTGGAGCGCCATGCTACAATATGGACAGTGAGACTTTTCGTGTAGCTAATCCAGGCACCGCATTTGCTTAGATTTGCATGTTTGCATATTCAATCAAGTCAGTGCATTCACAACTCCCATGGTGATGACTCAGGAGTCACAACTCAGCATTTGTGTAGGTTTCGGAGCAACAAGGGATGGAGGGAGAAGGTAGGTAGGGAGGCATAGCATTTGCAGTCACCAAAGTCATTGTTCAGAAAGCCTTGGGGACCAGTCCTGCGAGGAGGCTCAGCTCTGCCTCCCCTTGTTGGCATGGAGGGTGGACCAGCTCTTATAACTGATCCCAAGTCCAGACCAGCTGCAGCTAGACTAGGAGGAGCCTGTCAGCATAAGTCCCAAAGGGAAGGATGCAACCACCTTAGCCTGGAGAGGGTAGGGTGGGCCCAGCACACCGCCTCTAAGAACAAGACGCCACGTCCACGCAGCTTTCTTCCTTACATGATGCTGCCTGTCGTGACACCCCCACACCCCCTCCTGTCCCTCTGTGGCTCCCTTTCCACAGGTTCTAGAAGAACATAAAGGGACCCGAAAGGATAAGCTGGAGGAATGTGGCCGAGGCAGGGAATTAGCTCATTTCCTCTCTCCGATCTCCTCAAGGACATAAAGAACAGAGTGGTTCAAAACACACACCATGCCAACAACGATGATAAAAATATGCAAGCTCAGGGTGTGGGGCTTCTGAGACTATAGGCAAAGGTGACCGTGGGGACAAGGCATAGCAGAGTCACAGCAGTGAGCTGCTTGCCTGCCTGAGATGTGTGCCCATCCAGGTGGGGTGATAATTGCTTTCTCTTTCCTCTTTTAAGGGACACCTGGTGTGTCACAGTTTCATCGGTGGTGCCTAATCCAACAGGAGGGATTTTGCACTGTGTGATTTTGTGTGTGTGTGTGTGTGTGTGTGTGTGTGTGTGTGTGTGTGTGTGTGTGTGTTTCTCTCCCTATCCACCTATATCACAGATATTTCACTGAGTGTTTGAAAATAAGTTTTTTCTCAGGAACGAAAAGATAAATTGTTCCTTTGGCCTGCAAACGCTTCAGTCTGACAGCAGTGACTATGGGGAGAGGCATGGGAAAGAAGGGGCCACTGAAGGGGGGCTGGAGAGGATGGAGAGGAGGGGTTTGTGTCACCATGGAGACCCAGAGCTGCCGTGGCTGTCATCCAGCTCCCAGCCCTGCCCTTACCTGCCCTTCTGTCTTCGCGAGCACCCCAGGCTGCTGTGCACTTGCCCGGAACGGCAGAATCAGGGAGCTCCCTCACAGAACCGTCCTTCGGCAAGGGCACGCAAAGCTGCAGAACAGAGAGGAGCTTGGGGGGGGCGGGGAGGAGGGCAAGGAGGCCCCACTTCCTGCAGGGCCCTCGCAAGCACCGTGAGGAAGCAGCGGAGGAAGTTTGTCTTTGGCGCCCCCTTTCGGGTCCCCTACTTGCCAGACTCAGCCCTTCTGTCTCCCTGAACACCTGGTCTTAAAAGAGCGGCTGGAGATACCTTCCATCGGGCCATATTTTGAACCCTTTAATTTCTAAATGCACGGACAAGGTGAGAAGGAGTCGTCACCATTAGGTTTCTTCTCTTCTTCTTTAGACATAATCCTGGCTTCACCATTCTCTCTGCTCCTCTGCTTTTCCTTCTAATTTTGCCCTTTCTCCCAAAGAACGGAGATGAGTGAAGATAAAGTGGAGGGGTGCTAAGTCATGGCACCCCTCAGTGTGCATTCTTACCTCTACCTCTCTGGTGTATCTTTGGGCCAGTTTTCTAACCTCTCTTGGCCTCATTGTTCTCCTTCTATTGGACTAGATCAGGGGTCAGCAAACTTTTGATAAGAACAGATATTACACTTGATCTTAGCCAAAAGGCCAAGAAGTGATCGGCAAACTTTTGAGATGGAAGAGCCGCCAGGGGTCAGCAAACTGCGGCTCGTGAACCGCGCAGGCTCTGAAATAAAATTGAAAATGAAAATAAAACTATCATAGTTTCATTTATAAAATTTTAAGGGATATTATTCACATAATGGTGATTATGTAAAAATATATTTATGGTTCTCGAATAATTTTTAAATTGTTGTGAGGGACAGGATTGGCTCTCCAGGGGTTGGCAAACTTTTGAGACAGAATGTACCCAAAGAGCCGCGTGTGGCTCGTGAGCCGCAGTTTGACGACCCCTGGACTAGATAATCTCTGGATGCCATATTTTAGTCTCATCTGTGATTACAGTCTAGAAATAAGTAGGTCAAACGACATAACCAACCAGGTATCTCAGACCCAACAAACTGGAACTCAGACCCTCCCATCCCAAGCCATGCCTGCTGAGAACGGCAGGATTTTCTACCAAGTTGCCCAAACTTGAGACCAGGGATGCTTGCTAGACTTTTTGTTGTTGTTGTTGTTGTTATTCTGTAACATCGATTCCATCACCAAAAAGCCACAAATATCTAGAATGTATCCTCTTTTTCCAAGTTTTAAGAAAACGACACTCTTTGATTTGAATTTGGTTCAGTCAGGCAAAAGCGTAAAGCAAGCAGCAACCATGTCCTGGGCTTCATGCTGGGAGCTGGTGGACACAGCGTTAATTACGAGAACTTGCTGGAAGGAGCCTGAGGTGTCCAGTCAGTCATGCTGGGCTCGCGTTCTGACGCGTCCCCACTCACTGGCCTGTGACCCTGAGCAAGTCCTAATCTCTTTGACTCTTAAGTATCCTCCACAGCTGTGTATCATGGAGCTCAGACTAAAGTGTTAGCACCTGACAGGGCCCTGTGAATTCTGAAAGTCTACACAAAGCATAGTGATAATCAAGACTTGGTCCCCGCTCAGGGGAGACTCCCAATCTGAGGGGGTATGAACACTTATTTCAACTACTGCAATCTAAAATGGCCCATATTAAGCTCTGAAAAAATGAAACGTAGGATACTGGCTTTGGGCTTGGACATTTTGATTTTCATAGGGTTGTCTTTTTTTTTTTTCTTCTTTCTCTCTCTCTCTTCCCGCTCTCTCTCTCTCTCTTTCTCTCTCTCTTCTTCCCTCCCCCCCCCAACTTCTTGAATTTTTTGGCCTAAAATTTTCCGGGATAGCTCTTTCATTTGTCTAATTTACCAACTAAGTGCAGGTGTGGTGACAGTGGGACAGAGAAAAGGGAATCATAGGGAACGTCAATGCTGCAGATGTTGAGTTGGCCCAGCGAGGAAGCGCTGACCTCGCCAGCCTGGCCAGCCTTGTGCCCTGTGGCTGGTCTCACCCTCTCGCCCACCCTGGGGGTTGAGGCAGCAGCGCCCCACGGAGGGGGTCCCTGCAGGATCAACTTCGTCACCAGGGAGTTTCCCCATCACAACTTCTGTTCCCTCGCTGGTCTAATTTTATCCTTTTGCCCTCTTATTTATTATAAATATCTGCTGTGACACCACTGCATGTAAAGAACTGTTCTAGGCTCTGTGGTATTTAGAAGCTTCCATATGAGACCCAGCCCTGTCATCCAAAGATAATAATAATTGCTGGCATTTACTGATGACTAACGTGTACTATTTATATGTGACTGATGTGTGCATAGCATAGGTACTATGCTGTGCCCTTTGGCATACATTGTTTCATGTAGTCGTCACAACTATGAGGAAAGTGCTATTTTCATCCCATGTACCATTGAGGAAGCTGAGTTTATATAATTTGCTCACGGTCGTATGACAGTGATTGGCAGAGCCACAGTTTCATGGGTAAACAGTGAGCTGCAAGGCGTGCTGAAGGCATGCAGAGGAAATACGGGACCAGGCTGAAGAGGGCAATAAGGAAGCACAGAGAGAAAGGGCTGAGTGCCCCCGACTGTATGGTAAATAGGTTATGGTTGCTAGAGCCCCCCGAGTGGAATGATGGGAGGAATAGGAGAGAGGGGGAAGTGGAGTGAGATGCTTCCAATGTCTCAACCACCAGGATGAAATGTTATGCTAACGTAAGGCAGGCCCTAGAGGTCCTAGGAGGTCCAGGCTTCCCAGGAACACTCTCCTGAGGTAGGAATGTCAGATCACAGAATGGTGCAGTGGCCTACAGCTTACTGGCTGGAAGTTACTTAGGGCCAAGTGGAGCCTCGATGCTCTGTCCCTTGGTTCTGGCTCCTGGACACTCACTCTTTTCTCTGCCCTCTCTCGCAGCTCTTGCAGGAAGCCACCATGAGCTCTCTGTGGTGCTCAGGGACTGGCGATGTCATCGAGGACTGGTGTCGGTGCGACTCCACCGCTTTCGGAGCTGATGGCCTGCCCACCTGTGCGCCCCTCCCACAGCCCGTGTACGAGCCCCTCTCCGCCTGTCTCCTGCACGCATGCCTCAGCATGACCTGCAGACACACATTATAAAGGGTCTACTGTTTGCAAAGCTATAGGCTGGGTACCGGGGAACCGAAAGAAAAAGAAGACGTGGTACCTGCCTTCAGGGAGCTTACAGTCTCTAGGGCCGGCAGGTGCACACATTGTAAGAGTAGAAGGGACAGTTTGATAAGTTATATGAGACATTCAAAGAAAGTGGGGAAAGGGAACGGCCGAGTCCGAATTTGGGGAATGGTGAAGGCCTCGTGATGAAGGTGCCTCTTGAATGTCTCCTTCAAGGTGGAGAAGGTAGGACAGCGTGGCTGGAAGATGACGGGTAAAAGTGCTGTTGCAATGGAGGACGTCAGGTCCATAATGAGACCCTAACGAGGCCAACAACCCACTTCCTGGGTGCCGGGCACTGTGTGGGGCGCTTAGGTACTGTTATCCCCGCCCTTGTAATAGACAAGGAGATGGATTCAGGTGGACTGAATAATTTTCCAAGGTCATAGAGCTGGAAGCAGAGCCATGGCTAAGAGGCCATGGCATTAGCCATTATAGTAATGAGTGGGTACAACTGGGAGATGACTTTGGGTAGAACTGACAGGGCTTGGTGGCTGACTGGGGGCGTATGGAGGAGGAAGTTGAGAATGGACTTAAGACTTATGACCTGGGTGGCTGGGAAGATGAATAGGCCACAATTAAGAAAAGAAGCATCAAAGAATAAGCGCATCTGAGGAGGAGGCTGGCTCCATTTGGACCTGCCTCCGCGTTGTAGTGGGCAGTCCTATGGTGATGGTCAGTGGTCAGAGGGGAAGATGGGTTGGAGCTCTGTGGAAAGTAAACACTAACGATAAGAAGATTTAAATGAAACCCAGAGAAATGAGAAATGGAACCACAGCTCCAAGAAAGGATGCTTCAGAATTAGTATCAACTGTGGAGAGCGGAGGGCCAGGGATGGATATTAGGTGGTATCTGCATATGAGGGGTAAATAGAGGGCTGCTACAAAGGTGGCTGAAAATGAGCATGTCCAAACTCCTTCCCTTTAGGGGAAGGCTGAACGGAACTGGCTGAACTCTCGTAAATCCTGATGGGCTAGGGCCCCAGGTGGGAACCCCTTTGAGCCTCAAATGTGATATCTGCCATTGGAGTGAAGCACAGTGTTTTCATGTCTAATAAAGAGTGTTGGTAGGACAAGCTAGAGGGGCATGACGCCATGGCTTGGTAAGGCAAAGAAAGCCTGAAACGAGGATCTGGACCCCCGGTACCTGGAGGGCTGAGGAGGCAGGGGCAGGATGGCAAGAGGAATATAGCAAGGGAGGCTGGTTTTGGTGAACGCCGCCCTCTAGCCTGTTACATGGGCATTTAAAGGGCCAGGACTGAGCAGGAAGACAACTGAGAAAGAGAAGAACACATAGTAGAGTGTTATTACAAGCCAACATCTTCTCTTATCTACATAGGCCTTCTCTATGTGGATAGTTTTAGATACACCAGCCTTTGGCTTCTTGCTCTTGATAGCCAAGACTTGGACCTCTTGAGTCAAAAGACAATAAAGCTCACTGTTAGTAAAAGTCAGTTCTTGTGGTAGAAAGTGAGCCATTATAAGCAGATGGTGCTTCTAGACTGATTCACCAACTAAGAAAGCTACCTTTGACACGTAACACGGAAGCCACCAAACAGTTATCATCAGGTGGATACAAGATCTAGTCATTAATATTCTAGGGCTGATTTCATTTCTAAATCTGCATTTACTAAATGTCATCGATAAATGTCATTTGATAATGGGGCTAAATTTTCATAAACAGGGACATCTATTAAGGACTTCACTTTACTTGTTACTCTAATCACTTCCTTCAGCAGCAGACCTTAGGTTCTTGAATTTTTATTGATAGTTGGAAACAGAAATGCACTTTGGTTTTTACACAAGTCTATGTAGATCATACATACTTGTGTTTCTCAGTAGAGCCCAGCCTTCGTCCATATTTCACAGAATCTGAGTTCTCAGAAAGGCTTCGTTACTTGCTTACGCTTCCTAATACTTTTTTTCTTCAAAATAGCACTCTGCATATGACTCTAATTAATGAATTTGTCAATATCCGCACTGTTTTGGGTCTATTCCACCTTTAATGTCATATGCAAACTATGCACTTCTTCATAGTAAGCCACTAAAGAGCATGTGTTTTGCATTATCTTCCCACTAGTTGAATTCCTTGCTATTGCTCCCACAGCCTCCCATGATTTCTTGTTAAAGTTCTTATCACACTTTATTATAATCACATGTATAATTGTATGTTTGTTTATTGACCACGCCATAAAAGAAAGGGCTGGAGCTGGCAGTGCAACGTGGCATCTTCAGCACTCACCAAGCACATTCTTATAAGTAATGGGTGCTTAATAAATATTTGTTGAATCGAAATTGAACATTGCTTTGGTGTGATACATCCACGGTACCTTGCCCAGTGATCCATGGGACCAGTGACAGGCGTCTGTGAGCCGAGGGGAGGCTAGAAAGCCAGGATTATGGGTGGTCATGCGATAGGGGAAGAAAGGGTGGGGGATGAGTGGCAGGGATGCATGTGAGGGAAGGAGGCTGGAGTGAGCAGGAACTGGGAAAATCCCCAGAAGCCAGTGGTCTAGGAAGAAACAGGGAATTGGAAGCAAGTGAGAAACCTGAGACACATACATAAAGTCAGAACCAGGCAGCAAATTAAAACCACTTGGACCATTAGGAGATCCCTACCAGTGAATGTCAGGAATGGTTATTGAGTGTCTGCAATGTATGAAGAGGTATGAAATGGCAAGGCAAAAGAGTGCTCAAAATCACAGTTTTGAATCGAACACAGAACGAGGAAACTATGAATTGGGAAAAGCAAGGAAAGACTGGACTCAGGAAATGAGGATATTCATAGAAACCCAAGAGCAAGGGCAGAAACTGAAATCGGACCCTGGGTTTGTAGACACAGGACATCACCCTGAGGATAACTTGACATGTGGCCAACTTTCTCTTGCCCAGTAAAGCCCCCTATGGGCATTACCTTCAACTGAGCCTGTCGTAAGGTCCAACCAGCAGAAGGCCTGGGGCAGAAGATACGTTAGTACCCATAGCAAGAGGGGAAGCCAGGGTTTCGCCAGCAGGGGGACCCCATTACCCTGCCAGCAGGGGTAATGCTATGGAAACTGGGCTGACCATGGCCTTATTCATGCAGGGCTCTCCTAGACACCACCTTCAATGGGCCTGGGTATGAGCATGACAGGCACAGTCTCTTATTTCTCAGGAGCAAATCCAGAAACTGTATTTTCAAGCCCTATAAAGGAGTACTCCCAAAGCCCTAGCCACTGACCCTGTGAGGTGCGGGCATTCATTCATCACTGACTCACCTAACGTATTTAAGTACAAACATATGTTGAGTTCCTAATCTGTAACAGGCACTTAAATGAATAAAGTAAAGATTTCAAGGGTCTTTAGGAACCTTGAGTCTCTAGGGAAGGAGACAGGCCCTCAAACAGATCGTTGTAGTGGTTGGTTAAGAAAAAGTTTAGAGAGGAGTTCACTGTGTAACAAAGGAGAAGCGGGGGCAGTAGTGGAATCAGCAGCTTATCGCAGGCCCCAGCTGGGTCCCCATTTCACGCTTCTCCCTGTCTGCACTCAGGCTGAGACTGTCCACAGTTCACGAGCCCAGCAGCACTCTCGTGGTCCTGGAGTGGGAACACTCAGAACCTCCCATCGGAGTGCAGATTGTAGATTACCTGATCCGTCAAGAAAAGGTCACTGACAGGATGGACCACTCCAAAGTAGAGACAGGTGAGCATCTCCCTCTTCATGGGCTCATCTTGAGCCAGGTGGTAAAAAGAAAAGAACACTGCTCTGCCTCCTGCCTTTGCTCCAGGTTCCCAGGGTCCTGGGCCACCACAGGCGGAAGGAGCAGAAGCAGAAGCCATCTTGTCCAGTTAAGAGTTTTTGCATGGTGGGCATCTGACGGAGTCTTGTTTTGATTTTGTTTTTCTTTTTGTTTCTAAAAGAGGTGTCCATTTCATTGCCCCTAGGCACACTCAGAAGTAATAACAATACAGTTCGTTAGTTCTCCCAGCCCACAATTAGGAAACAATTCTGTGCTAACCACTGCCATGATTACAAAAAAAAAAAAAAAGATGGCTTGGCTAATACGCCCCTCCAGGCAAAAGCATGTGCAAACAGATTCGCTTACCCCATGTCTTGTCCTAAAGCAAACTTTGCTTTTGCTAGGTCCAGCTAGAAGAAGAAAGTCTTCATGGAGTGGAAATAGCCCATGAGAAATGTTATATGTTTTAGAATTCCATTGTCAACACATAGGAAAGATCAATATAAATCCTGCCTAAAACTTACACCTGAGTGTCGTCACCAGAAGCATGGTGGCATCCACAGTCTAATTAGGGGTAAATACCCTCTGGCGAAACTCCCTCTGAGGCTTAGAAACACATGTGCGGCCTTCAGGCACAGAGAGCTGTCTAGTGCTTCTCCTGAGGCCCTTTCCTGGAGGTACACAGGTGCTGGGAAGGCCTGGCATTGACCACTGACCAGAGCAGCTGTTCTCTGGCAGTACCAAGGACATTTCATATAAAAGCTTGCCCATATCCATCTTGCCTTAGTTTCTGAACTAACTCTGGACAAATGGCTCTAAATTGATTAGTTAACCATGAAACAGTAAAAAAAAAAAAAAAGACCACTTCTTCTAAGTCTCCCTTCTTTGCTTGGAATTTAAGGCAACTGGGGACCAAGGGTTTTAGTGTTCGTTTCTCATTCAGTGGATCCCATCTCCTCATGTCTTGGCCATCACAGTTTCTCGTGTATTTTCTATTCCTCCCCCTCTGGGCAGAAACGGTGCTGAGCTTTGTGGACGACATCATCTCTGGAGCCAAGTCTCCTTGCGCCATGCCCTCCCAGGTCCCAGACAAGCAGCTCACCACCATCTCTCTCATCATACGATGCCTGGAACCCGACACCATCTACATGTGAGTGACACCTAACTGCCTAGTTCTTTCTTTACCCCAAACCTCCCGGGCTATTTAGCCGGTTCCTTTTTGCTACTTGCGTCCCTTTAGAGACTTGGAGAAATATTGTGAGTCTCTCAAGCCTCGTCCCGATCAGCATTCCACAGAACCTTCTAGGCCCTGGAGACGGAGGAGCAAGAGAGGTAGTCGAGTTCCATCCTTCAAAGAGTTTGGAACATAGAGGGGAAATAGGGAAACAACTTGAACAGCAGGCAGAATTCAATAAATGCTAGGTCGAAGAGCAAGGAACATGTTGTAGAAGAAAAATGAAAGCCGCCATGAATTCTAGCTCAAGAGGACGTCATCTGACTTGGGTTGTGTCAAACTTCAGTAGGTGGGGTCATGTTGGAAAAGGCACGCAAGGCCGAGGAAGCCTCAGGGCAAAGGTGAAGAGTCATGAAAGCTGAGGAGCAAAGGAGTCCGTCGGGCGGAAGCAGACAATGAGTAAAAGGAAAGAGAAGAAAGTGAGACTCGGAAAATAGAGTGGAGATGGTTACATTTTTTGGAGGAAAGGAATACCAAGAACTTTGCTTTAGGAAGTTAGCTCCAGTAGCATTGAAATTGATAGTGTATAGCGGTTAGAGATGGTCAGCATTTTTCTTCAAAGAAAATAGAGTGAACTCCTATGTCACGGCCCTTGGAACAGCCCTATTCTCTCCGGGAGCTCTTTGCCATCCCTTCCTGTGCTCTGGGAACAATTGTAATATATTTGTGAAGCAGAGACACCAAAAGAGGAGAGATAAGGATGGAATCGAAGTCATGATAGGGAAATCTGGGGGCTGAGGCAGAATCCATAGTGATGTAGTTTGGGGATCTTTTGACCCCATCAGCATGAAAAACATTTCACGGTTTAGAGATGAGGTCACGAGAATAGAGTCAAGGGCTCCAGCATAAATCATTTCTGTTCCGACAGTTCAAAGATGAAAAGCACTAGAAATGTGAGTGACACTGATTGCAAGGTGAACTTTGATACTCGGGCTGGATATCGCCAATATAGGAAAAAGAAATGTAAGTCAGGGGACATGCAGATGAAAGTAAAATACATGAAGGCGACTGATGTTCACAGGGAGGTGGAAAATATGGAGAGGCATAAAGGATAATACTAGGACAAAGGAAAGTCGGCCTATTTACGATTCTCATTAGCTCACCTGCTATTCGGCAGCTGTGGCCAACACCTTCATGAGGACGGGCAGGCAGAAAGAACAAAGGTTTCCGAGCGTGGGCCACTTAACCTGCTGTAAAATGCCTCAGAGTCCGTGAAACTGGATTTATCATGTATAATAAGGGGTCCGTGATTCCTGTCCTGTCACTAGATCACAGCTGTTAATTAGGAATTTCAAAGTTCATATGAGTGTGAGGCTAGCATAGGGGTCTGTTAGGAGAACCAAGCCCTTACCCACCCTGAGACCCTCCTCATGTTGGCCTGATCTGGCTACGTTTCCCGTTCAAAGACCTGAGGCTGATACCTTCTCCTACTCTGACATTCTTGGGAACTTGCTCTCTTAGGTTTTGTAAAACATGAACTTTCTGTCAGCGTTGATGATTGAAAAAGTTAGAGACAACTCATGGGGCTGAGGGGAAGAAAACAAAACAAAACAGCCATCCTCCGCTAGGTGGCGCTACAGATCGCAGGAAGAGGGCGTGTGGGCGGACCTTGGCGAGACCTTCCTCTGCACAAGGATCTAAGGAGAGGAGCCCTGAATTAATTGTTGAGAATACATGGGCCCCAAGCCTGGTTTGTTTCTAACCACTACGTGATTGTAAGCGAGACACTTAACGTTGTTGCAACTAGGTTTTCCTCTCTATAAAATGGAGGGAGGCAGACTTCTTACGGGGTGCTTACTACACATGAGTGCCTTGGGAGCCCTCCCTGACCCTGTGGGGTGAAGGTTATTGTTCCCATTTTATAGTTGAGCAAACTGTGGTTCAGCAACACTGAGTACCTTCCCCAGAATCACAGAGCTGGTTGTCTGGGGTGTGGCAGCGGGTGGTGAAGGACTGAATCAGGGTTTGCATTTTCTTCAGGCACTGTGCCTCATGCCCCAGCCGCGCCCGGCTCCTGGAAGGATCTAGCAGCGTGATCTTAGTACCTCGCATTACAGCACAGAGCTCGCTCTTCACCCAGAGTCCACAGAGGTGGAACTGCATTTCAGCACAGCTGGCTGACTTTGTCATCCTATGCGTTTTATTAATGTATTTAAAACCATTATCCTGAGAAAGGTCCACCGTACAAAAGCAGTTCAGAATCCCTGGTTGAAAAGTATCTTGAAGTGTCCAGTCCAACATCCTCCCTTTATTTATTTATTTATTTAGCTGAGCCATCCTGCCACCTGTTGGCAGCTCAGCGGCAGCTCAGCTCAGGCCAGACTTGAACCGCTGTTGCTCAGAGCTCAAACTCTTGAGCGAGCTCTTAACCAACTGAGCCACTCAGTCAGCCCTCCAACATCCTTCCTTGAAAGACAAGGAAATGGAGGTCAGAGTAGGGGCAGGGGCAGGGGGAGGGGGAGGGGGCGGCTTTCTAGCCCACCACCCCTTCACCATGGCATGTGCTCACAGGAGAACCCCTCCCTTTGGGGGCTTGTGACAGCAGACAGGTAATTCAGAAGGGAGCTGATTCGGAGTGGTCAGTGGAAACCGCCACACTTGGAGGGGAGAACGTGAAAACAGTGAAAACAGTCAGCCCCTGACAGGAGGCCCGACGCCATGCATATCAGGTTTCAGGCCTTTCAGACCCAGCCTTGGAGCCTAAGCCAGGCTGTGCTGATACACACACACACACACACACACACACACACACAATGTCAGTGGCCCCACCCGTTCTCCAATGGCAGGGAGAACCATCTGAGCTGCGCAGTGGTGGAAAGGACCAGAGAAGCTTTGGGTGAGGCAGTAAATGCACCTACAGAGCAGGCCTTCCTAAATGACTGCTCGAAGCATTTCCCCCATGAAAATGCGTAAAGTGCTCCCCAGGCTTGCATACTAAAGATAAGCTGGCAGCTTCTTCTGTGTCACTTGAAGCCCCAGGGCACTGAGGAACGGCTGTTAGGTCAAGCATTCCCTCTACTTAGAAGGTTCTGGGACACTCATATTTGTCAATATGTCCTCAATGAAGTTTAAAAAAAAAAATAGGTTGTGTGAAGCATTTCCTAACAATTTGCTTTGCTATTAAAAATATTGGGTTGTCGGAAAAGTCATGATGTATTTTTTCCGTTTTTCATTGCAAAAATGCATCATGACTTTTCCAATGACCCAATAGTAAGGGCCCAGGACCCTCGATTTTACACTAATTACCCCACCAGAGTAATGTGAGAATTCATTTAAGCACCTGCATTTTCACTCCTGTAGAGTTTAACTGGAACTTAAGAGTTTAGATGGGACACAAAGCAAGGCTGCCCGAAGGAGTGGGAGAAGGCAGGGTGTGGTGACAAGTAACACCATCCCAGGCGTGGAAAGAGGGAGTCCATGTGACAGCCAATTTGGTACCTGAGGCCCAGACATTTCCCATCACAGCCCAGGGAAACTGCTAGAAATTAAGGACCAGGGTTAAATAATGGTGGGTTGCAAAAGATGGCTGGAATCCAGCCACAGACAGTCTAGGGCAGGTAGCAAGACTCCAGCCCTGACCTGGAGTTCCAAGGCCACGCTCAACACCCTGGAAGATAGACAGGAAAAATCAAAGCCCAGCCATCCGACAGAGGCTGGGGCACTGCAGGCTGCAGCTCAGCAGTGTGACTCAGGAGTGTGGCTCAGACGTGGTGGTGGTGGTGGTGGTGGTTTGTGTGTGGGGGGGGCGCGGCTGGGGGAGGAGGAACCTCATGCTGAGAACTGCAGCCCAGGAACCAGGCTCTTGCAGAATCTGCCACAAAGATCAAGAGGCCCACCTCTGGGTGGGGAGATGGATTTCTACACATCAGGGTCTCTATTGTCAGGATCTGCAGAGAGAGAAGGGGGCTCACTAGGACCCTAGAGGGCAGCCCAGCTGCACTGGCGAGGCAGCGTCAATTCTGGGACTCGCCCTTCCTCCTTGCCAGCAAGGAGGGAACACGGGGAGTGAAGGGGGTACTTCTCCTGTGTGTGGGAATCCCAGGCCATGAGGTGCGGGTCTGCAGTCTTCCCCGCTCCCTCTGGGCCCGTCCCTGAGAACCATAGCTCAAGATGGTCTGCGGCAGAGAATGGAGTTGAGGCCCGGGTCATGGGACAGGACTCAGAAACAGAGCAGGTGACAGACAGGGCTGATCTGATGCACTAGCTTCGGGTTTGGTGGCCTCAGTCGCAATTCTAGAAACAGCACCAAGAGGCCAATCAGGTGATCTGGGACCATAGGACGGAAGTTTTTGGTGGCTGTCATTGCTAGGGGTCCAGGCAGCCTCGTCTGTGGGACTGGGTGCTCAGTGCCCACTCAGACCCAGGCAGAGAGGGACGTTGGGAGGGAAGGGTGGCAGTCCCTGGGTTTGGGTCCAGGGTCAGGATGGGAGCAGGACCCAGTATGAGGCACAGCTGTGGATCTACACTAAGGCACAGGACACAAGGCCACGGCCAGCGGGACTGACTGAGCTACCTGTGCAGATGAGACGGAGCCGAGCACCTAGTCCCCTGGTCCCGATCTGACTAATAACGAGGGGCTGGGCCGTCCTGCCAGAGTCTACAGGTGTGGTCTGCACCTTCGAAGTCCCACCAGACCAAGGTTCCCACGGGGATGGAGCCTACCTGTGTGAGGTGCCCATGGTGCCAGCATGAGGACTTGAGAGCAGAGAGAGGGGACTCACACAGGCCCTTACACTCACCGTGCTCTGGGCTTCTCTGTGGGGAGTGGTACATGCAAGGTTGTCTTTACTGACAGAATCATTAGGCAACTTCCATCACGTTTCTGCCTCACTGACTCAGCTGTCTCTACCTGGGCCCTCTATCCTGACAGCTCTCTTCCTGCCTATAGCTCTGCCAAGAGGAAAGAAAGTTCAGGGTTGCCAATAACTGCAGCCTCCCATGGCGACACAGCAAGAGCAAGGAACAGAAAGGGAGCATTAAAAATTTGCTTTAGACTCAGGGGGTTGGCGTGAGAGGCCCTGGGCACCGACAGCAGCGGTTATGGTCATGGTCATATTCAAATCCCTCTCAGTGCAGAACCTGGAGCTGCTCTTTTGTCTCTCCATCCGGCTCCATCGCCCAAGGCGGAAATTATACGTTCAGTCTTCATCCTCCTCCCGGGGGTAGGCAGGGGGCTCTCAGAACCGCTTTCATTGTCACATCACTCGGTGGTGCATTTCCACTGTGGACTCCTGGTCCATGGTGGGTAGCATCTCAGTGGGTCAGAAAGAACTGCCTATAGGAAATAGAGCCCCAGCCTCCAGGACCTAAAGACCCCTCAACTCTGGCTGTTTTACTTCTGACTTAAAAGAGGGAAATTGTCCTCAGTCCTTTGTGTAAAAGTGTCAACCAAGCACAAGACAGGACGGAATAGGATTAATATGGTTTATGTGATGTGACTGGGCTCCAGGTCCTTCCAAGCATCATCTCATGTCATCTTCACAATGACTTCCAAGCTCTTTCATTATCATCCCCATTTCACAGATGATGGGAAATAAAGCTCAGAGGAGTTAACTCCACATGGTAGGAGCGGAGGCTTCTAGACCCAACTTCTAACCACCTGTTTGCATAGATACAGACTCCTGCCCTCAGCTGAGTGGTTGTCAGAATGTAACTGGCATCAGAATCACCTGGAAAGCTTGTTATAGCACAGATTTCTGGGCCCCATCTCTAGGGTCTCTGACCCAGCAGGTGTGGGTAAGGCATGAGAACTTTCATTGCTGTCGAGCTCCCAGGTGGTGCTGATGCTGTCCGTCTGGGGACCTTTGAGAACCAGTGCTGTATGCCATGATGCTTTCCACCAAATCCTAAACCCAAAGCAGCAAATTACAACTCAAGAGCCACCAAGAAGCAGTGAGAGGCTCTAGACCGCACACCTTGTGACCTGGGTGGTGGCATTAAATGCTTAGCAGGGTCGTGAGAGCAGCCAGGGGCAACCCCTCCCCCCATCCAGCCAAAGCTGGGCTGTCAGCAGGGCCTCCGGTTCTCTCTGATAATGACACCCTCTCCTCCCTGCCAGGTTCACCCTGTGGGGAGTGGACAACACAGGACGGCGCTCCAGGCCAAGTGACGTGATCGTGAAGACCCCTTGCCCCGTGGTGGATGATGTCAAAGCCCAAGGTAAGGGGCACTGAGGCCCGCGGGTCTGTGGGGGGTGCCCATGGACCTCCCCTTGCCATGACGAGTGAGGGAACGAGAAGGTCGAAAGGAAGTTCAATGGTGAAGGAGGCCACTGAACTGAGACTTCAAGGCCCAGCTGAGGAGCAGCACCCTTCTGGGAATACACCTCCACCTTTGCCTCTGGTGCAACACTCCCTGTTTCCCATTATCCCACATAGTCCGGAAGTCAAGGAGCCAGTAGGAGATGCTGATGAAAGCCCCAGGCACGCGGCGGCGTGGGGCGACACCAGCTGCTTAGTCCGTGCGGAAGTCCCCGTGATCTCTGCGCTCGGGATGCTGATTGGCTCACTTACTCCTTTCATATTTTTTTGTATATCTGAAAAGTTACTTTGAATTGAAGCACAGAAAGGCTTTAGAGTTGAAATCAATTGCTATACCATTCCGTCCCTTGACAAAATCCTTTTGCTACACTTTTTGGAGTTATTATGGACCAGTGCTTTGGGAAACAGTTGTCCTTCTTCAGTGCACCAGATCAGCCCTCATCAATTAGGAAGAGTTTGTCTTCAGTCCATTTGTCTCCAGTATCCATTGCACAAAACAGCACACTTCTTGGGGTTCCTTTCCTCATGATGCTCCCTGGTCTTGACATTGTCCCCCATTCTAGGGCTTATACATCTCCTCCATAGCCAGAACTTAGCAATCCTGGGCACCACTTCTACAGGGATCTGCATGAATTAAAATGACCTGGTCAACCACTAAAACCTGTTCGGTAGAACCGACCTGATAGTCTTCACATGGAGATACTGACTGATTCTGGAAGTTCAGGTTGTGCACGTTTCAACAGGAGAAATATCATGGCCACACTGGCCTTCTGGTACCCCTCAAATCATCTTATGTATGGCTCCTGACTCCAGCGGTATCAGGTGGACCACAAAGGACGCCACCCCATAACACTCAAGGGGCGACATCAAGAGGATGCAAAATCACAGGGGGAAGAGAGACCTAGACCTCCTTTAAGGAAAGTCACAGATGCTGAGCACTTCACAAGTTCCGAAATGCTTTGCACATCCACTGTCTCATTGAACATGCTTGGCATGTTCAGGGCACTATTCTCTGATCATCGTAACACTCCTTAAAACTCTCCTAAGGGTTGCCATTCTTGTGACAAAGATAAAAATATTGAACAGGCATATTGAGGGCTGGAGCCAGCCGTTTCCATTTCCACCACGGAGCCTTTGCATATGTTGGTCTCATTAACTCAAATGCTCGCCACTCCCATCCCTTTCAACTGATTAACTCCTCTCACCCTGCAGATCTCGGAGCAAGTGTCCCTCCCTGAGGACAGAAGGGGTCAAGGGACATTGCTACATGTCCTCATAGCACCATGTTTCTTTCCTTCAGAACATGCATCTCCATTTGTCATTATAATCATGTGTTTGATGTCTGTCTACCTCAATGAACAGCGAATTCCATGAGAGCAGGGTCCTGGTTTCTATTTGACCACTATTGTGTCCCTAACACTTAGAAGGCAGAATGATGTTATAGAAAAATGTAGACTCCGGAGTCAGACCACCCAGTTGCAAATTCCTGCTCTGCCATCTAGGTGCTTGACGTTGAACAAGTTATTTCACCTCATGCCTCAGTTTATGAATCTGTAAAATGAAATGAGGGATAATAGTACCCTAGATAATAAGTTTCTGCTCTGAATTAAATGAGTGAATTTATGAGAAGTGTTTAAGTGCCTCTCTCATAGTAAATGTTCAGTAAATGTTAGGGAGTATACATTCTGGGACGGTGACCCTCACTGTGAACCTGACACAGCTAGCATCAGGAGCTATAAAGCTGATTGGAGGGGTACCAGCAAATCAGCTTTGCCACAGTATTTCTCTTCTTGACACTACCCAACCTAAACTTCAGCACCAGGCAATGTCTCATTAACATGCAAATATATTAATATGCAAATGTTACCATTAACCATATCTGCTTTCTAATAGGAACTCAATAAGTATTTACTGAATGAATAGGATATTGCCTCCATTTTATAGATGCAGAAATTGAGATTCAGAGTAGCGATAAGCTGACTAGAATCACAAAGTTAGCATCCTACAGAACCCGCTCTCCGATTCATTATTTGACATCAGTTCCCATTTGGCCTACGATGTTAAATGAGATATATTTAGAGGGTTATCATGTAAAAGACTGAAAACCTTTCTTTGTCTCTGAATACTGATGAAGAAAAGACCTACATTAAAAAAAAAAAAAAAGAGCGTTCATGTTAGATACCAAAGCCTTCTCCCTTTCAGGACTATTAGTGTCCGCTGGGATGTTACAGTAGGATGGAGACCTTTAGGCGTGAGACAGATGTGCTTCTCCCTGGAGCGGGTGCTGCCTGGCTTATGGGGTATGGACTGCATGACTTTTGAAGGACTCTGAGGAGTGAAAGCAGAGTCTGGGGTTGAAAACCCCCAGATGAGCAACTGTGTGGGGAGGACCCATGGCACCCTTATTTCATCACCTCTTGATTTCTTACTCTACTCGAGAGAGGAGCAGCTGATGAGGAAACACCCCAGCTATTTCTGTTTTGGGGAATTTGCTGATATCCTTTCTGCAGTGGTGGGCACCTTAGACTTGCTTGCTGAATAGGCAGCAGGCTGGTGGGACATTAGAGAGGCGATTTGAAGTTGGAGCGATGCAGCATGACGTTGCCTGTAGGAAGAGGTGGACAGAAGCATCTCTGACATAAAGAGTGGCCAACATAGTCTAGTCTGCCCAGGAGCGGCCACTGGGCTGTTTCTCTCTAGAGCTCCTTTGGGTTAGTTCCAGCCCCCAAAGTGTACCAAGCGGGGCTTCCAACCACTTATGCTCCCTGACAAAAGGGTTTCTGAGATCCCAGCTGGGAGCACGAGAGGCAATTTCATGCTCAGAGCATAAAGTACAATTCCCGAGTCCTAATCTCCTTCAGCCAGGAAGGAGTCCTTCCTTACAGGGCACAAATGTGACTAATGACTTGTGCTAATTGAGGGTAGCCTTGCAAATTAATACAATGCTAGCAGTTCTACCAAAAAACCATATGCTTTGCCTCCTTCAGACCCAGATGGTGATCATAAATATAACTCACTTGGGTCTGAGTTTAAACGTAATAAAGAATGGGAATTACCTTTTGAGTGACCCAGAACATGACTTCAGCTTCTAATTATCTAGCAGGAAGTCAAACTTGATTCCTTAAATGAACTCTTTTTCATAAACTAGGTACTTTCTAGGAAGAATTCTACCACATCATGACACTAAAGCTCTCATGCAAGTAAGTTTCTACCAACGGTTTACCGAAACCACCCTTCCCCCAGTAGGAGCAAGCCAGTGTCGGCAGTGAGGTCACCCTCATCTTTAGGCTGGCCGTGGTCTTCCAAGAGTTCTTCATGAAGCCTCACTAAGCGAAGGCTAGCTCTCATCCATTACTCCCCCAACATCCATCCTCCTTTCCTGACACCAAACAGAAATACTCATCTATTCCTTCATTTGCTTCTAACACGGCCATGTATTGAGCCCTGGTGTTAGATATAAAAATAATTACACCCAAAATCTATTCTCAAGAATTTTATAATCATGAATTTTTCGCATCACACAACGTATAGTAAGTGCTTACTAAATACCTGCTCTAGGCATTCTGGGGGCAAAACCTACTGCCCCATGGAAGCTGTATTGTAGCAGAGGGGGCAAGCAACAAAAAAACCAAGAGTAAAATAAATAATATTTCAGATGGTAATATATGTTATGGAGGCATAGAAGCAGGGAAAAGGGACAGGAAGTCCAGAGGGTAGAAATTTAAGGAGAGTGGTTTGGGAGGAGAGTGAAAGAGGAAGACACGCAGATATCGGAGGAAGATCATTTCAGATAGAGGAGTGGGCAGACAGAGATCCTTGGCATGTTTGAAGGAGAGAAAGGAGGTGTTTGTGATGGAGAGGGCTGGTGAGAGGGAGGGGAGTCGGAAAGGAGCTCCAAGCAGCTATGGGGGAGGTCCCTGGGCCTGGTCCTCAGAGTAGGGGACAGCACTCTGCCTGGGAAGGAGCTAGGAAGCCCTGGGGGACTTCGAGCAGAAGTGTGACGGGCGATTGGACTTAATGTCTTACAGGGTATTTTGTCTGCTGTGCTAAGAACAGACTCCAAATAGCAGGTCTAAGGCGGAAGGCGGGTGAAGAGTGAGACGGGAGTGGGGGTTTGATGTTTTGAACTAAAATGATCATCGTGGAGGTGATGAGAAGCGGTCCAATTCTAAATTATTTCGATGGTAGGACCGAAGGGACTTGCTACCTGGTTGGATGTGGAGCAGGAGAGAAAGGAGAGGTAAGCCAGTCTTACCACGCATTGTGAAAGAGAGATGCACAGTGGCTGATGGAACACCAGCAGGCCCACCTAGTTCAACTGCATGTGGGGTTTCCCTGGCAGACCCCCACAGCCTGCATGAAGGCAGAGAAAAGGCAAAACACAGAGCACACTGGCTGAGGGGACCAGCAGCGGGCCAAGTGAACCAGGTCCAGTAGAGAAGGAAGTCAATACAGGACAGATGGCTGCCGTGAATGGGAGAGCCAAAGGGCCTGGGGTTTCCATCACTGAAGAACAGGTTTGACAGCAGTGAGACGTCCAGGGACTGTGAAAGGAGGTCGTACTCATAGTATGCGATATTAGGATGTACTGTTTCAAAGACAGAGGCGTTCCCAGGCATGATGACGGGTATTTTGGAAATTGGGGAGGGGGGTGGTCTCTAGACTTAGAGACCTCTCGTTTGGAAAATGAAGTCACCCAATAGGTGATAAAAAAGAAGATGGAGAAGATGAACCAGATACCAGATTCTTCCATGGACGCAGAAGAACGGTCAGGAAGTGAGTAGTGGGAACAGGAAGAGGCGGGCGAGTTTATAAAGGGAGGGACTTTTACATATGCACAGAGAAGTAACTGCCAGGGGTCCGGAGAGGCCGGGGCAGAAGAGCGGGACCCTCTGCACTGCGGAAAGGCTTCAGGTAGGTTTCATCCGACACAGGCATCAGGGAGGAAGGAAGCGTATTGCCAAGGTCAAGGGTGAAGGGAGCGTTGATGGTCGTGGAATGCTGCTGCTCCCAGGGGAAGCGAGGGCAGTTTTGAGAGGATGAATTAGCATCGAGCAGTGGTTCTCAACGTGCGATCCAGACCAGCAGTGTCAGCATCACCTTGGAACTTGTTAGAAATGCGAGCTCTCAGTTCCCTCTGAGACGTACTGAATCGGAACTCCAGTGGGAACCCACCGTCGGCATTTTCACAAGCCTCCCAGGATGAGAATCAAGTTGGGTTCTCAGGGTTGAGAATCATGGGTGTGAAGGCCGCACAGAGCAGCGTGGGGAAGAGGCGGAAGGGGAAAGGACAGCAGGAGGGGGGGGGAGGAGCTTGCAATTTGGACGGTGCTCAGGAAGACAAAGATATGAGGCCATTTGGGACTCGTCATCTTCAAGTTTTCATATGGAATTCTATGGTCAGTTACTTCATTGTGGGGACAGACTGAGGTCTCAGGTAGCTCCCAAGGAACAATGACAGTGATGACTCCGGATTTCCGTTGAGGAGACTTCTGTTATAGCTGCCCAGGAAGCCGTGGGCAGAGGTATAGCCACGTCCCAGGATTCTCAGCTCCTGGTAAAAAGAGAAGCCGCTACCGGGGGACAGGAAAACTGACTGCTGCCCCTGGAGCCACCCGCTCATTGAAGTAAGACTTCCTGCCTCAGTCTCTTGGCCGCCTGTGTGTCAGCCGCTCTCTCACATGGCACTGGGAAAAGTGTGATCTAGTAGAAAAGTGGTAATAATAATACAAAAGTAGCATCTACTATGGTTGTCCGATTTTCCCCCTCACTCACCGCATTCCAGACCCCAGGGTTTACTTGTTGTTTGCAGATTTGCCGCCCGCTGCAGTTTCTGAGCTGGCACTTTCTCTCCCTGGCGGGCTCATCCCCAGACCCCTCCCTTCCTCCAAGTCTTGGCTGGAAAGTCCTTTTTTCCACAAGACTACCCTGACCTCCCTATTAGAATCACAATGCCCCCCACCCCCCCAGCAATCTCAACCTTCCTTCTCCTGTTGTATTTTCCCCACTTTATAACACATTATATAGCTCACTATGTATTATGTTTTTGGCTTAAGTGAATGTCTCCTACTCCTAGGCTGTAAGTGCCTAAAGGTGAGAATTTTTGTCGGAGTTTCTCACTGGTGTAGCCCAAGTGCCTAGAAAAATTCAAGCACATGATAAACACTCAGTAAAAATGTTACTGAATGAAGGAGTAAATGTATGCTTTCTGTGTCCAGACACTGTGTCAAAGAAAGCTTTACACTTAATATGAAATATACTTTCTGTCTCACAATAATTCTGAAACATATATATTATTAACTATCACGGAACAAACAAGAAAACTAAGACCCAGAGAGGTTAAGTAACTTGTCCAGTGCCACACAGCTAATATAGTGGAACCCAACTCCATTTGATGCCAAGGTGCTTATTCTTAACCATTCTCCATGGGTCTAAAGGCTTCAGTCCCAGCCCTGTTCATTTATTCTGTTGCCTGAGAGATCTTGGCTCACTTCTGATAACTTGGTTTCCTTTTATAAGGTGAGGCTGTAGATACAGCTTCCCATCTCCTCACCTGCATTTTAGCTGTTTCGGACATCGTGCATGTTAGAGAGGGGAGACAGATGCCTAGTTTGGGTAACTCAGGACTTGTGTGAAGCTGAAATCTGGGTACAATGATAACTAGAAACGCCTTGTATTCTTTTCTATCCTTTGAGTTAGTGAATTCTTGAGATGCTCTGAAAGCTAATGAAATAATTTCTCTAAATTCTCTCAGTGGAGACAGGAGAAGCCAGCAATACTCGCGTTCTAGGAGCCTGACATATAGATCGTCCTGAATACAGCATCCCATTTATTGATGTAGGCTTTTCAGCACGCCCTGGAGTTAGATTCTGTTGGTTTTTGGATATTTGTAGAGGAACCTCGGCCTATCCCATCTGGTGTCAGCCACATGGGCTGCTGCCCCTGGGATGCACCAGCCTTCTCTAGCTGGGTATCACTGTTGTGTTCTGAGAATAGTAAGTATGCCAGAAAACAGCATCTCTGCCCTCACTGTTCTCAGCAGAAACTCACAACCAGGGCCTGGGGCCTGGGCTGCTACTGCCTGTTCCCAGAATTAAGAACAGATTGATATCAGTAAAAGGGTGGGAGAGGAACCCCAAACCTCCCTATTGGGGTTCCAGTGTGATCACTCACATTTTTTCTTCCCGGTCGTTCTCCTCTCAGTACCTACTCCCTGTGTCCCATTGAACACAGCGCAGCTCTGACAGCAGTCCCTTTCTTCTTTCTATCTCAACTCCTAAAGTGACAATACTCCCTGCACACCAACTAGGACTTCCTCTCACTTGGCATCTATGGGCCAACCAAGGCAATGTCCTCTACTAGAAACAGCCACCCCAGAATTGCATCCCCTAAGACTGCCTCCTGTATCTTAAATCCATTAAACACTACCATCCCCTGAGCATCGGTGCAAAAGAGCAAACGAAAATGGACAAAATGTTAAACCTAGAGTCCAGCCCGCACTGGCTCTGTGACCTGGGGCAGGTACCCCTGCCTCTCTCTGAAGGCCCTCCTTTGTAGACCAGGGACATTCATACCCATCTTGCAGGGGTGGCTTGAGGATTGAAATTCATGTGTGTGAAGTTCTTGGCAATCGATATGCCTTTATGAAACAAAGGGGGACACCATAGATCTGTATTTTCTAAATCACTATCACTTTTAATCTCTTGATCCTGTTTTAATAACCAGGGAATTTTAAAATCCTGAAAATGCAAGTGGATTTCTGAACTCACACTATTTTTAATGCAGCTAAAGTTGGCAGCTCCCAGAATTTGGTGGCTAAAGAGTGGGCATAGCTGAGGATAGAGAGAGAGCACTGAGAGACCCTCTTCCAGAGTAGATTCAGATGGCTCCCGAGTCATGAGTTCCATTCACTCGGCTAATAGTTTTTGATCGACTGTATTGTCTGGCCTTGGGCTAGCCACTCATGACAATGAGGTTCTTGTCCTCACTGGCAATAGGCCAGATAGGAAAGTGAGGAAATGATGGCGGTGTCTGGGTAGAGTGGGTGTAGGAATGTATTTATTCCAACCCAGGGAACTCCTATAGTGATGACTCTATCATTACCAGCAGCCCTGAATTCACGTGGAATTGTGACAAGGAATCAGGTAGCTATGCCTTTAAGCTGACGGGCCATCAAGTGGGCAAAGTCTGGCTTAGAAACCTATAGACTTAGTTTCTTCACCTCCAGAGCTAACACGGGACCCAAGACAGCATTGCTCACAGATCTCAGTTCCCAGCTGTTTCAGAAGGAAACGTAAACAAATCTCCCTTCTGACAGGTTTAATGAAAAAACCTTTCATGATCCAGTGCTTTGCGCTCCCTAGAAAAACTGCCAACACCCTCCAAATTCATTGCCCCTCTGCCACATCACCAAGCTCAGCTTAGCGATGCATGCCTTGGAGGCAGAAATGTAAAAGCTATAAATTAAACTGAAAGCTTACTCACTTGGAACTGCAGAATATACTGGATTCAATGCATGTGTCACCACAGATCTGCAAGCGTGTCTTCGTATCTGGTCTGAGCAGCCCTGGCGAGGGCTGCAGTCATGGATCCAGGTTGCTTTTGGCACCGCGGCTGCTCAGGGTTCCTCAAGGTGCTCGAGGCAGGACCTGACAGCGCCTGCCTTCATCCCTGAGCCAAATGCCTGCCCCCCGCTGCCCAGGGTGTCCCTGTTGCCTTTATAAGACCCACTCGGTACCCAAGCACATGCAGCCTAGAAATGCAGGGGAGCTAATGCCTCGTGGGGCCAGTGTAAAGCCCCGTGGACCCGTCGCAGGGTGGGGCTGGAGACAAAGTCTTCGCCCATCCTGACCGGGATGGACCAGTGGAGATCCAGTAGCTTCCTACATCCTCTGCTGCAAACACAGCCACCGGCTCCTCAGTGCACTCCCTTCCTTTGGCTCTGCCTCCTTTCTGGCCGCATTTCCCTTTATCCTCCCTCCTGCTTCCCTGGGATCGCATTTGCCAATAAAGTATTCATCTATGAGCTTTGGCCTCAGGCCCTGGATTTTTAGGAAACATGGGTAAAGACACAGAATATTATAACTGGAATTGACCTCGGAGGTATTCTGTTCGAAGCCTTTCATTTTATAGAAAACTAAAACCTGATGGGGCAAAGGGAAAGTGAATTACTCAATCCATTTCTCCATGCTCTAGGCTCTGTATTCTGTAATATCATACACGTATGTGTGCATGTATAGATGCGTGCACACACACATGCATGCTCATGCATACCTATCTGCCTATATACATAATCATTTATATTACATATAGAATCTTATTTATTTGCCTTGTCCGCCCTCCTCAGAAATAGCGGACAAGATCTACAATCTCTTCAATGGCTACACCAGCGGAAAGGAGCAACAGACGGCCTACAACACCCTCCTGGACCTGGGACCCCCCACCCTACACCGAGTCCTCTATCACTACAACCAGCACTATGAGAGTTTTGGAGAATTCACCTGGCGGTGTGAGGATGAATTAGGCCCCAGGTAATCCATAAACTTCACTGTCTCTTTGTAAGACCCCAGCTGTTTGAAATTTTGTACCTTCTCTACTATAATAACGTATTCACACATTTGCAGAGCTATCCTGCATGAGCCTAGGTGCTTGAAGAACTAATTTCTATGCTTTTAGGCAGCTCAGTTCATACACATTAGTTTTGGATAAGCTGTATTGAAGTAGTCAAGTCATGAGTGCATTTCCTGAACTCTGAAAAAACTTTGGCCCTTGACCTGTTTTAACCTCTTCTTTATCATGCTGACACAGCATTCCAAATGCTAAAACCGTAGGAGCCAAAGGCTTCATCTTGTGAAAGAAACTGAGGAATTTTATGGAAGAGGTTATCTAAAAGTATTTACTGCATATGAACTTTGCATATATTATTTGCATTCTACAGATATTTTTCTAGCTCGATTTCGTTCTCTTGAAAGACAACATGGGGGTAGTCAACCACCCACCTTACCCACCTTGACATCTATCTCAGCTGAAGTTAGGAGAGGACAGTGTCTGCCACCTTTCACTGGCCCCCAAACTACTACTTCCCCAAACTCCATACCCCCTGCTTTTAGATTGCACAACCCAGATAGAGGTCGTTGAGAGAGAGAAATGGGGAGAATGTGTAGAGATAGCATCTTTTTTTTGTTCCATTGGCTGTATATCGCTCCTTTGAGAAAAACAGATCTGGAAATACTGGAATTTTCAGATAAACAGGGTGAAGAGGCTTTCACATGGAATGTCAGTATCTATATGTCCCCCAAATAATTTAGGAGCTTATGAAGAAAAACAAAATGTGGCAAGGACTTTGAGAATAGGGAGAAATAAAAAAGAAGAAAGAAAATCAATGCTGTTGTATCCTCTAGCGCTGAAAGAGTTCTTGCACTCCAGGCAACAGGACTAAACAAAACTGTCACCCAAAAGTCATCCAATCCATCTGACTTCTGGCCAAACTGGAGGGAGACCCAGCCTCGGCATGTATCCTCTCATGACCCGAAATGATAAACTTTCCTAGAAGACCCCTGTTCAGAACATTCCCCCTTATTTCCTTTCTTTTGAAGGAAGGAGAAAATTTAGGATTATTGGCATTCCATAAATGATACACTGATGTTTAGAAAGGGTGGTAGTCCTTGAACAAACAGGTGCACTGCTATGCATCAGGACACAGGGAAACTGACAAGGGACTTTCAAGTTGTTTTGTCTCACTTTTGGTAAAAAGCCAACCCTGAGTTAGAAAGTTAACACATATTAAGAAGTGTCTCCCCTGCTCCATCCAAACGTTATCATACTCCTGCCTTTCTTATTACTAATATCATCCGCCCTCCCCAACTCTCTCCCTTCTGCTGCTCCCTCTACTCCCTCCTTCCTTTGTGCTCCTCCACCCTCTCCTCCTCTCTTTCCTCCTTCCTCTGACATTTATTGCGTGTGTATATACAGTTATCTGTGAAGGGACAGAGATGTCACAGTTTGAATAGCACGCACATTTCATATATCATCTTCATTTCCAAGGACATCTGGATTGCCAGTTCCTCTCTTGTGTTATAACTCAAGAGTCAGAGGGACAATTCGTTAATGAAGAAAGTGAGCCGGGAAAGACATGTGGACCCCACTGCAAAATAAGGCCCACTGCTGGCTCTACACTCTTTCCCCGAAACTCTCCTCCCAGGAGACCCTCTTACGGGGTTTTCATGGCTGTACAGAGGTTGCGGGGGAAAATGTCTAGTTTCATTCGCTTGTGGAAAATGAAGTTTTACTTGTCAGTGTCATGGATCTCAGGGAGAACCACAGGAAAGAAAAAGTCCTCTGCCTTGAGATACATCAACCCACGTTGGATTCAGGTGTGAGAATGAATAGGAAGGGGTCTGTTGGGTACCTACTTCCTGTGAGTGGGCAGAAAGGGTTCCCTCAGGTCAATCCATTTCCATTAACATTCCTGGAGGCCCCCAGGTTGAGTTGAGGGTTGAAGTACTTGAGGAACAACATTGGTTGCACTGCTATTAAGAAAGAAAAAGGCCACAGGTTCTGAGATGGTCAAGGGCAGACCCACATTAATTTTTTTTTTAAAGTGAGCAATGAAAGTAGCCACAAAGACCCCACGGGCTAATGAAACCCACTTGTTGGAAAGGTCGGCTAAAATGTGTTCCTTTATCTGTTTCTTAAAGATGATAGAGATGCTGTTCCTCCTTCATTCCGCTTTCCTCCACCTCCCCAAAATCTGTCAGCAACTCATGACATGCAGTAGGATAGATTAAGAGGATGGGCCACCAAAATCCCTATTGATGGCGACTTTTGGAAAGCCTGCTTGGCAGCAGCTGATAGACAGAAAAGGGACCATCTGCATAAGATGGCATTTAGTTGGCAGGTAGAGTGTTTGATTTCCTCTGACCCACCATCGAAGGTGAGGAAGTATGACTGCCCGTGTGATGACCTCACACTGTCTTAGCTCCTTGGCTATGCTAACGAAGGTCAATGCCAACGTCATCTCTCAGCATGTCCTCCTAGGGATGCAGTGAGCTCACCCCTAGTGATACTCATTACCAGAACAGAAGAAGAGGCAAGCCACGAATGCCCTTATTGTTCTTTGAAAGCTTGTTCTGCATGGTGTGCAGCCACTTCCATTTTCTGGAAGGAATTGTTGATTAAATGCAGAGATGGTTCCTCGCCTGAGAAAGTTAGTCTAGCAGTTGATAAGGACTGCAAGAGTTTTCACTGAGCTTTCCAGAATAGCATTTTACAGCTCACATGAGTGTGTTCCAATAAGAGAGCCTTCCTCCGTGGGTCTCTGGTTACTGGGTCTTTGGAGAACATAGTTGAGTGAGGGACCTCTGCTCCTTCACACCTCCTGAGTGCTCAGAGTCAAAGCAGTGAGGGCTGACAGCTGGCCATCAGGTGGTCCCTATCAGCAGAAACAGGGGCCAGGAGGAAGCCCACACACCTGTGAGTCAGAGGGAGGTGAGAGCACGTTTCCCCAAGCGGCACGCGGAGGCGATCACACTCTGTGCTTGGCCTGGAGGGATGACTCCTTTCTAGTGCATGTGAACTTGGGGAGACCTCAGCGCCCTCTGCTCCTTTCTCGGGGATCTGCAGCAGCTCAGGTGCCTCTCATCACCTCCTTCTCCCACTCTTGCTTGGGGCTCGCTGGCGATGTCTTACGTCCTTTCTGAAGGAGAAGCCAGAATGGAGCACGAGCTCCCTGGAGGTTAATTACGTGATGTGGACCACTGAGTCTGCACTTTCCCCAGGACTGGCCCTGTGTCAGTGTGCACTGAGGACATTATTGTCCTCATCCTGTCACACTCTAATTACCTCCATACAGGCATAATTAGTTGCATCTGATATCCTCTGGAGTTCAATATATCCGCTGCTTCTACTAGGTTCAGAAATAGCCTTGAAAAGGGAAAATTCAAACACCTTACTTGTCATTTAATGATGATAAATTACTGGCTTTAAAGAAAACTGATTTGATTTGTCTTTCAAAATGGCCAATTCTATGATTTTAACAGGACAGACATTTTCACTAAAATATTAGTTATTTTCTCTTCATTTTTCCCTATTGCATTTTGTTTCTCTGTTTTACTTGGTGCCTGCTCCACTTTCCACGTGCATCCTATGATCCCTTCCCTCTCTCCCTCCCTGTCTCCCTTCCTTCCTTCGCTTGACAAATATTTAGGGAGGACCCTCAGTTCTAAGAGCCAACGATAAAACAGTAAGCAAAACAGACCGGGCTCTGCCGCCTTGAAGTCGACCGTCTCACACTGTTTGCCTTTCCCTCCTTCTCTTCTTTCTCGCCCCCTTGCTTGATCCCTAGGAAAGCTGGCCTCATCCTTTCCCAGCTTGGGGATCTCAGCAGCTGGTGCAACGGACTCCTTCAGGAACCCAAGATAAGCTTGCGACGCAGCTCCCTCAAGTACCTGGGCTGCCGCTACAGTGAGATCAAGCCCTACGGACTGGACTGGTCAGAGCTCAGCCAGGACCTCAGGAAGACGTGCGAGGAGCAGACCCTGAGTGTCCCCTACAATGATTATGGGGACGGCAAAGACATCTAGTGCCACGAGGCCAGACAGCGGCTGCCAAAAGGAAGCAGAAGAGAAGAGGGGGACATCTGGGTTGGTTTGTGGGTTTTTAATATTTTTTAATGGAACATTAAAACCTCCACAGGCACCATCGAAACCAGGGAGGAACCCATCCTTGTTCCCTGCAGAGCTTCTTCGTGTGACGCCCTCCATCTGCACGGCCAGCACACCTGCCGGCCAGCGGCCTCGGGCAGCACCAATTTTTTTAGGGAATTACTTTGGGTCTTGTTTTGCAGTTGATTTGCTCTTTCCCCCCCCCCCAAGAGGTTCATCAAAACGCTCGAGAATTCTGTTATTCTCCCCATGAAAGCTCCATCAGGCCGAGGCACCCCGTGCTCCCTGAGATCCTGAGTTCCTTACAAATGGGGACAGAGATGAGGCCAGAAAGTGGTTAGCCCCGCCTCAGGCCCCAGCCTTAGGCCGCCCCTCACTCTGGGAGCCTGGCCCGGCTCACAGAGAAAGACAACGAGAAGGGGCAGGTGGTCCCTGTGTAGGTCCCCTCAGGCCTTCCGACTGCCAACTTCATACCTCACAGGTGAACCCTGCCTCCCTCTGGGCCTCAGTGGGTTCCCTGGATTATTAGCCCCTTCCCCATGTTACAGAATGAATGAAATCTCCCCCTGGGAGGTGTCTGTCCTCTCCTCCGGACAATAGCATCTTTAAGAGGCAACTTAATGCTACCTGTCCAGTGCAGCTTCAGAGTGGTCTGCCTGGGAGACGAGTTAGCAATGCACGGTCTGGAAAAGAAGCGGGATTTATTGTTGTTGTTTTTATAAAAAACAACTCCTGCTGAGTCCCAGTATACATGACTCCTGATTGTCTAGCGTGGGCAGCGCTTGCCATGTTCAGCGAAGGCTCTTGGCTGATGTCTGCCCTGGTCCAGGAGGGGTCAGCACTGCCACGTCAGTGTTTCAGTGAACAGAAGTTATTACTGATCACAAAAAAATGCTTCTGTCCTCTCCTCCCCGCCTCCCCACTTTGCTAAATTTGCTTAATTATATGACTAGTTTTGCAACTCGTTTTTCTGGGGGAGCATCACAGGAGGGTTCTCCCATTTTCATCCCCCCCCCTAGTTGCCAGGGAAAGCGGAGGTTTTGTGTGGGCACGCGCCCCTGACTGCGGGTAAGGGCTGGCTGCCGCTTCTGCCCCACTGCGCGAGCACTGGCACGGGCATCGGCGGGCACCCGGCTCACGGGAAGCCCAGCCTTTCTGAAAGCGCTTTGCAGAGCTGTGGGGACCAGATCTGGCCCTGGCTGCCCCACAACTCAGAGGCCTGAACACACACCTTCAGCCCCCGTGCCCTTCACCTGGCTCCCCGTTGGGAAACACTAGAATAAGGGCGGGAAGAAGATGTGAGGTCCATAAGGCCACCCCCTGAGCTATATTGATCTTTTTCTAAATCGTAACAATGCCACATCACATTCACTGAGTGCTGACTGTGTGCCAGACGCTGTGCTAAGCACGTTACATATCACTGAATTCTCACCCCCCCCCCCGCTGCCCCAAGTACTGTTCTTAGCTCCATTTCAGTGACGAGGAAACCGAGGCAAAGTGAGGATGCACAGCTTGCCCCAAATGCCTCATTTATGTTCTGCCTGAGCCACAGTATGAATTCAGACTGTCATACTCCAGAGCACAGGCGCTTAACCCCTCTGCCACTCAGTTCTGTTTTCAGTATTGCCTGAGCAGGGCTGCTGTCCCAGCTGTAAGCTCCATGAGGGGGCCTGCCAAGAGAGTTTCCCCTTCCCCACGCCTCCATGGTGCAGTGGTGCCCGCAGTGCAGCGGGAGGAGGAACCAAAATGCACCCTAACTGCAGCTAGAACCCCTTTGGGACTTCCAGTACAGGCGGTCCCCGCTGGCACCTGGGAGCCAAGTTGTGCCAAGGCCACAAGCACGGGTTCCTCTCACTCCCCTCTCTGCATCTTTCCACAGAAAGATTGGCAGTTTATTTCACACTGTGGACTGCCCCTGTCTCACAGACTCCCCCACTTCCAGAGCAAAGGCTAACAGAAAACAGCCATCCCACCTGTGGTCAAGGTTAGGGCCTCAGGTAAGACACCTCAAGGCACAAGTTTCATCACCAGAGAGGAAGCTGCCCTAGACAGCTGGACGCCAACCAGGGGGGCGGCCGAGCTGAGAGCTGCCTTGGCTGCTGCTACCGTGTTCTGCCTTTTATCCGAGTCTGCACAGAAAACAAGGTCCACGCAGCATGAGTGGGAGGTGCCGAGGCTGTCGCTACCTTCCTGCCCCCGCGGAGGGCCAGGGAGGGAGGACAGCGAGTGGCATCAGGGTCGCCCTTTTATGCCCCCCCTTCTGTTTTATCAAAAGAGGCTCATTGTCGCCCTGTCGCCTTCTGCCTTTTCCCTGCTTTTCCTGTCTGTGACCTTTCCTCCTTTATCCCTTCCTTCTCCATGATTCTCTTCCTCCCTCAGTGTCCCCTTGTGCCCGCCTCACTGCACCCATGCACATGCACATACATATACACCGACACACACTACACACACACACACACACGGCACACAACCGCTATGGCTGGGTCAGAGTCTCAGGAGAGCGTCCTGAGGATTTAACTGGAGGGTTTGTGCCCAAGAAGACACATGGGTCATACCCTAACAACACTTCGCGAAGCTTGCGTGGAGGAACCTATCCTGACTACAAAGGGTGATAGGGCTGGACCAGTATTAAACCTCAAAGTTACCAAGCTGCCAAATAGGTCTTAAGGGGGTTGCTTATATCAACCCGCACACTCCCAGCTCTGGGGCTCCCAGGAGACCACTGGTGTTCCCTCCTGAGTGGACATGACCCATTGTACTAGCATTAGACCTTTCCCTGAGTGTGCAATCATTTTCCATGGAGTTTGGTCCACCCATTGTTTTTAGTTAACCACACTTCTTGATATTCAAATGTTCTATTAAAAAACTGAAAGTAAAAAAACAAAAAAACAACACTTTACTACTTTAGAAGGAAGAAAGAATATAATGTGACCAACTTCAGGTTTGGCAGTATTGTTTAAAAGAGAATCATTGTACGATTATAAAATATGGAATAATCAACTCAATAATAAACAGAGCTGTTAGTAAGTGTTGGGTGTGTGGGTGTTGCCTTGTATCATTAAATAATCTGTCATCGGCTTGGACCAACTGAGGAACTGTTAAAGTTTTAAATTTTAGATACATAGGCTTTATAGCCTGTCATCTTAACTAGAAAAAAGAAGTTAAATACTTCATAGCAAATTATAAACTTACAATATTACTATGTAGTGATGATTCTCATTGTCTCTCTGCCACCTTCTCCAAATAATTAGCCAATGAAATGTATTTTATTGCATATCTGCTATAACTCGGACACCATTGGTGGCCAGCTGGTACACCGGTAAGACAACAGGATATACTGGGGCAAGTTAGATATTGAGCCCATCATATGAAGGTGATGAAAACTATGACAGAACAGGGGATGCTCTGGAAGTTGCTGAAATGTATACGTTGGGCATCTAAGAAAAACGCTGCAAAAGGTCCTCCCTGCCACTTTTCTGTCTTGCATTCTGTAGACGACTGGGGCTAGGCAGGCTATTATGAAATGCTTCGAGGTGGGCAGCCCAAGCGCTCACAATCGTTTCTCTCTCTGCACTGTAACTTTAAATAGATGTTATCACCACTGACCCCAGAACATGATTCCCTGTATCTTCCATAACCAGATGCTAAGAGCCCGCACACTGACAAGGTCTTGAGACGTTCTAGTCTCTGTGAGCAGGAACTATTATTAAAAGAAGATGAGGGCTGTGGCAGTTTTAAAACACGACCATAAATTCTTTGACACCCTCCCATCTAGGCGCATGTTCTCCTGTCTCTCTTCTTGAATCTGGGCAGGTTTATGAGTGTTTGAACCAGTAGATTATGATGAAAGTGAGACACTATGTGACTTCCAAGTCTGAGTCATAAAAGGCCTTGGGACTTCTGCCTTCTTCTCTGGAACTCGTACTCTTGGAACTCTGAGTCGACACATAAGAAATCCGAGGCCACCATGCTGGGGCCACCATGCTGGGGCCACCATGCTGGAGAGGTCATGTGTAAGCCATTGACTGAGCTGAGCCTAGCCTAGATGCTCCTGCTGACGCCCCTGACATGTGAACAAAGCTGTCTTGGACCCTCAAGACTAGTTAGTCCCTCCGCCAGCTGCATACCACCCAGCAACTTCTGTCAATGTCACATGAAAGAGAAGAATCACCCTGCCAAATCCAATCTCAATTCCTGACCCTAAAAATTATGCAGCATGATAAAATGGTTATTGTTGTTTAAGGTCAACATGGTGAGTGAACGAACAGCAAAATTTGACTGGACAAGTTTTTCGTCTGGTGGGTTTGTTTTTGTTTTGATGAGGGGGAGGGGCGTTTCTTACATGCAGCAAAACTGACAAGACACAGCCATCTTTACATGCACACGTCTTGCTGCTTCACTCTAGTCATCAGGACATGGAGAAGGCTGACTGTGGACCTGGTCCTGTGCACTTTAAGGCTCCTTGTGATGTGAATTAGTTGGCATACATGGAAATGAACCCCTCCCATGTCTGATCTCACTGAGTGTTGGCCTATACTGGCAAAAGAGACAACATATAACCCTCACCCCCACCCATTAGCCTGGCCATTTTCTCAGGCAGACCACCCCAGCTACTGAGGTATCTATATAGTTAATAGAACTCTGCCACACCCATCGATCTGTTGTGTCTACACCATGGAAACCCCTGACCAAGAAAGTCCGTCTAATGCACGTCAGACCTCGGGACCTTCCAGACAGCCTCTCTTGGGCACCAGACAGGGGAAGATGCTTTGATCTTCACTCTGTAGCCTCTGTGTCCCTTGGAAACTAGGGAGGCATCTGAGGAGGCCCACAATAGAGGTGTTGGTGACGGAGCTGACGGGAGTGGGGCAAGGACAGGGGAACAGAGAGAGAGAGAGAGAGCATGGATTTGGTTGTCACGGCAACACCAGCCAACACTCAAAGGAGAGGGTGTGGCCCAGGATTTAACGAAGTGCCACTGGGTTTGAGCAGCAACTGGAATGTCTGCGTGTAGCTGCATTCCTCCCCACAGAACCTGGGGCCAGGCCACCAGCAAGGGCTGCCGGGACCTCTTAGGAACGCTCAGGATGAAGACAGGCAGGAACAGACAAGCTGGCCTCCCAGGTGTGGATTTTCCTACCCCCAGCCACAGGGCCGGGGCCTCCCAGGAGAAATTTGGAAAACTCTACAAAGAGCCAAAACAGGCTTGATCTCCAAATTGTCGTTTTTTTCACCCCCAAACTCTGAGCCTGACATTCGTCAGGTGTAAGCAGACACTTGCCTGCAAAAAAGTTCACCTCTGTCTTGCTCTTTTCTCCTGCCCTTCTCCAAGGTGACATTCTCACAGTGGGGATGGACCTGGGATCTCAAAACCCTCACAGTTCGATCAAACAAAAGACAGATTTGTGGTGTGTATTAGCACCTTCGGGAACGTGGGTGGCGGTGGGTTGGAGGCAAGTCTGGGAAGATGCTGGGGCCAGGGCTGGCCTGACTTGAGTGGATTTGAGGGTACCGGAAAGCCTGAGGTCGAGGCAGGGTCTGGTGACAGAAGCCTAGAGGTTAGATGAGGTTTTCACTAGCCAGGAGATGCATAGAAAGCCTGAAAAGAATGCCATAGTGAGGGCGGCTGCTGCCAGTTACGTGAGAGGAAAGAGATCTGGAGCTCCCCCTAGAGGCTGGAACACAGGTATTGCCCAGAATCTGACGTGGCCTTCACTTCCAGGTCTTGCGAGACTCTATCCTTCTCCAACTCAACTCTTTTCTGTCCTATTTCATCTCCCCTAAGCATTAACCAGCTTCGAAGAAGGTCCTTATCTAAGGTACAGCATGAATGGAAACGGGAACCAAGTGCTGAGATGTTAAGTATATCCGAAATGCTAATGGGGGTGATATTAGGCAATTCATTGAAAAAGGAAGAAAATACATTCATTGATATTTATTATGAACAAGTATTTATGGAGCTCCAGCTATGCTATGGAACTCGCATGGAATACTTTTTATGCCAACTGCTTTCAAGGGTAACTAATGTTACCCTGTTGAATGCTCACAACAGTCCTGCAGATAGAAACTTTACCCCGCTTTACAAATGGGCCCTAAAAGACTCGGTCACCTGCCAACACCTTCCTGAGCTGGAAGTCTATACTAGGTCTCAATTCTGATGTCCATACTCTCAGAATGAAGAAGCATGAATGCATAAATGCCTAGAATGTCCACCAAATTTCATTTTGAGGGGCGGCCAGTTAGCTCGGTTGGTTAGAGTGCAGGCTCACAACACCAACGTTGCTGGTTCAATCCCCACAAGGGCCAATCATTGACTTGCACCCTCCACAACTAGATTGAAACAACTACTTGACTTAGAGCTGATGGGTCCTGGAAAAACGCCCTCCACAACTATTGGATTGTCCAAAAAGTCATGACGTATTTTTGCAACGAAAAACATAGAAAAGATACATCATGACTTTTCTGACAACCCAATAGATTGAAACAACTACTGACTTGGAGCTAATGGGTCCTGGAAAAGCACACTGTTCCCCAATAAAATTAATAAAAAAAAAGTTCACTTTGAGAGGGTCAGGCTTGAAATACATAGATGACTTGGTACTTCCAGAAACTTCATTTATATCTAGAGGAAAACTGGCTACTCTCCCCAAGCGACACCATTACCTGGGGCCCTCTTTACATGATGGAGGCAAGTTGTCTAACTCTAAAATGATGGATAAATTACATCACCTTGCTGACATAGTTGGGGTTTATTTTAACTAAAAACTAAAAAACAAAAAAATAAGTTCCTTCCCTTCATGCTTGGAATCAGGGTCCCATTCCAACAATTTAATCTGGGGCCTTAACTGGCATGCGACATGGCTTTAAATGAAATCATATTTAAAACATAGCCAAAGGTTCATAGAACATTTATGTGCATGTGTGTGTATGTCTGTGTGTGTGTGTGTGTGTGTGTTTGTGTGTGTAGAGAGAGAGAGAGAGAGAGAGAGAGAGAGACCAACTAACCAGAAAAACTCAAAATTTAAGCCACAAAGTGCATGGAAACTCAATAGCCAGCCAATCACCATCCCCATTACTCCAGCTCCATGCACGGCAGGCACCTTCACGTTCACTATAGTACAACGCATCAAAATTCCTTAAGCTGAGAAGCACCTTTCCATTTTACAGATGGTAGAATTGAGCCTTAAGCCATTAGGTAACTTACTCAGGATCACTCAGCGTCATCTCAGACCAGACTGTCTCTTAGGGTGTCTATCTTGCCTGATCGACAGTTGCTATTTCTTGCCAATCCATGTGGAATACACATCTAAAACTGAAATGTGCACATCTGTTAGCTGGGTTAGGGCATACCTCAACAAAGAACTGACTGACAAACCCAGCTTGAAAATACCCCAGTCTCCTGTGTGGGGCCTGTATTATCACTTCTTGACTATTGTTAGAGACCCAGTGAAAGCAGGTCCACACACCCATCCCCAACCCCAAACACAGCATCCTTTTTCCTTTTGGTTTTCACATCCATAACAATCTGGGGTGGGATTCATTTCAGCAAATTTCAAGGTTTGATGCAGACAGGGCACCGTGTGAGGCAGTGTCAGACATCCTAAACCCGGAAAGATCATATTTCCAGGGTCACCACGTATGGGGGTGAGCTTGTGTCTTGCCCGAGGCTGTCTGGTCCAAAGAGCAAATGTGGCCAGAAATCCAGCCCGTGCTACACTTTTCAAGCCATGGTCTCTGAGGCTGGTCTGCTTTCACTCAGAGGAAGGGGTGCTTTTTTCTACTTCTCACAAAAAGCATCGCACGGCCTATGGAGCCCTGAGTTTACCTGCCTTCTAAGAGTTTATACTTGAGTTGCCGTGGGGAGCGGAGGGGATGGTGGGGGTGGGCGGAGACAAGACTACATCTAACCCAGCGGTTCTCAACCTTTCACAGGGGTCACCTAAGACCATCGGAAAACACATATTTTCGATGGTCTTAGGAACCGA